TCTATCTAGGCCTCCCAGATGGGGTCGGAGGATCGTGCCGCATCGCCGATGCATCGGCGGTGCGACTCGATGCGGAGCCCGATTTTCTCCACGTCGACGTCGCCGACGCGTCGCCGAAGTCGAGAATGCATCGGGGATGCTGCGCGATCCTCCGACCTCATCTACTCGGACCCCACTTGGGAGGCCTCTACCAACAGAGGCTGCTGCGCAGCAGAGGGGGCCTGTCAAGGGAGAAGGGCACGTCTAGCACCACTGCGTTTCTCGAGGCAGCTTGGGGAGGGGCCTCTGACCCAGTGGCGGAAGACGCGCAACAGGGGAGGTCTGCGCAGCAGGGCCGGGCGTTTGGGACCTGCGAGCCTCGGCTGCGACGCGCATCCGGCGCGGTCTGGACGCGCCTCCGACACGCAGCCGACCCGGACCCGACGCGTTCGACTCAGGAGGGAAAGAAACACACAGACACAATGAATCGTCGATTCCCCAGAAATGTGGGAAAATATGGGAAGCGGGCGGGAAGAGAAAATGTGGAGAGTCATTTTATTTGTGTGTACTTATTTGTGTGTCTGTGGGCCCCTTCAGCGACGCGGATTCGACGTGGCTGCGACCCGGCTTGCCCGCGCGACGGGGCAGGCGGGGCCCCCCGCAGGGACCGCAGCAGCAAGGGGGGGCCTCCTCTGGCGACGCGGAGGCGCGGCGGCGGCGCGCCCGTGGCGCGGGGGCGCCGTGGGGTGGCGCTGCCCCTCCCTCGTCGCCGCGGCCGGCTTCGCCCCGGGAGCCTCGCCGGAGTGCCTCCCAGGTGCGTTCCTGGGCTGTCCGCAGGCACCTCCCAGGTGCTTTCCTGGGCGGCCCGCAGGCACATCGGAAGTGCCTTTCCTGGGCTGCCTACAAGCACCTCCCCAGCGCTGCTACCAGGCGCCCGCAGGCACCTCCCAAGTGCCTTTCCTGGGCTGCCCACCCCGGGAGTCGGGAGAGACCCAAACCAGGTGGTGAGATATCAGGCGGTGGCCTGGAATCCCCCAAGAAGTCACCGCCGGGGTATGGGACACGGGGTCACCGCCGGGCTCTGTGACTCTCCTGGACCCACCAGCGTCCAGGACATCCTCGAAAAACCACACGAGTCCCCAACCCGGATGGTGACACCAACTCGCCCGAGATTCACCGCCAGGTGTTGTCACCACCACGGTTGGGGAATGCCAAGGGAGGGGCCCCGGGAGCAGCTGCCCTGGTGCCGCTTTGTCCCCCACCCAAAGAACGACGTGAACATGCGCTCTCGGAGGTGCGCGCGGACCCTGACGGTTCAGGTCAATGCAGAGTTCTTCTCCCGTTTGTCCCAGCGGGGGCTAGGGCCCACACTTGCGAGTTCGTGATTTCTTGGGATGTGTGTGTTCCCCCTTTTTTTCGATTTCATTCCTCGAAGGCCGGTTTTTTCGGGCTCCAGGGCCATCGCAAGGGCGGGTCGGGGGCTAGAACTGCTTCCCCAGGGGCCGCGGGCTGCAGCGATCACACCGCTTGATGTCAGGAGGGAAAGAAACACACAGACACACTTAATCGTCCACTCCCAGGAAAATATGGGAACATCTGGGAAGTGGGGGGGAAGACAAAAAACCCCAAACATATGGGAAAATATGGGGAATCTTTTTATTTGTGTGTATCTAGTTGTGTGCCCCAGGGCCCCTTCATGATGAGTGTGGGACGCAGCGGCAGGATGGGGCAGGCGGGGAGCGGCAGGGAGCACTGACGGGCTCTGCAGTGGAAGCGGGGGGGGGGTCGGGCGGGGGAGGGCCAAGATGACTCCAGCCGGGGCGCGGACGAGGACGGGGACGGGAAGGGAAGAGAGCGGAGGTGGAGTGCTGCCCTGAGGGAAACAGGTCCTGAGGGAAATGGGACCGAGACCCCAGGGCTTCTTTCCCCAGCACTGATGGGCTCTGCAGTGGAAGCGGGGGGGGCGGTCGGGAGAGGGGGAGGACCAAGATGACTCCAGCCGGGACGCGGACGAGGACGGGGACGGGAGCGGAAGAGACCGGACCTTGGGCGCCGCGTAATGGGGGGGTCATAAATGTGGGGGTGGCAAGGGTGGTTCGAAAAGGTACCCAAACGGTACCTAAACGAGCCCCCTGGGGTTCCGGAGGGGCCCGAAAGGGGCAGGAAAGGGGACCGTTTCTGACCCCCCCATCTATGACCCCCCCATTAAGCCACGCCCAAGGCGGAGGTGGAATGCCGCCCTGAAGGAAACAGGTCCTGAGGGAAACGGGACCGAGACCCCAGGGCTTCACGTTCAAACGGCTTGTGCCATACCGCCGACCCCCAGAGGGGGTCAGAGATGGCTGCGATCGCGGAACCTATCAGGTGGCCTTCTGCCCGACTCGCCACCGTGCCTGGGCTGTGGGTGAGGAGACTCTTGCATGAATATAATGGTCTCTTGGGATATTTCGCAGGGGTCTTTTGGACTGCTCTTGGGTGCATTCGGGAAGCTTTTTGGGGCCTCTGGTCTTCTTGTGGGTGTCTTGGATGCCTCTTGTGACCTCTTGGGAGCGCCTCGAGGCCCTCTGAGAGGCTCGTGGGAACATCTTTTGGGGACATGCTCGAAACATCAGTTCGTATCACCCCTGTGAAGCTGCGGCTTCAGATGCGATGCGGCGCTGGCAACAACGATGGTTCGCATGTTTCCCTATCGCCTACAGCTCAAGGGCCCTAGTAAGCCACAGTGTTATACGGAGGCAAACGAGTTAGACGAGGGGCAAACGCAGGGGCAGCAGCTAGTACCCATAGGGTCTCGCTTCCACACCCCGCTTGGGCTCTCTTGGGGCCCTCTTGGGGCTCTCTTGGGCCGTCTTGGGTCTCAGGGCCCTCTTGGGGCTCTCTTGGGCCGTCTTGGGGGCCCCTGGGGGCCTCGTCGGCCGTCTCGTGACGTTCTTGGGGGTCCACTGGGCAGTCTGAGAAGCTGTCAAGACGAATTCGGCGAGTGTGTTAATGAACGCTTTCCTCAGGAAATGTTGCGACTTTTGCCCCTTGGGGACTTCTCGGCGACCCTCGGTCGTGGGGCTACTCTGGGACGTCTCGACGCTCGCCTCGACTGTCTGGGCGCTCTGTCTGGGCCCTTGCTGGGGCTTTGTGGAGGCTCCGGAGGCCCCCGGGGGTGCGTTGAGGAGCTCGTGCGAGCCCCTCCTCCCCTCCTCCCCCCCCCTCAAGCAGCATTCTGGACCCCAGGGGAGAGGGAAAGAGCCAAATGTCTCATACAGTGGAGACCCATGCCAAGAAACACCCAGCCTGCTTCCGGGGAGGGTGCCCTGGGTTCCTCAGGTTTCGATGGTTGTGCTGTGGACAGCGTGACGGTCCCACACCGAACGTCGATGTACGTTCTGGGGTCCCTGGGTTGGGTTTCTCGTGGAAGGTTTCTTGTGGACTGGCCTCCACTGTGCGCATTTTTTCTCCACCCCGGGCAGGCGGGGATCGGGGAATCCGGGCCAGTTATTGGACGGCCCTGGGGGGCCCGTGGGGGGCTCCAGGGAGGGCTCGCACACGGCGGCAGGCTTCCGGGACTCTTTCTCGGGGCTCCTCGCGGACTGCTGGGGTCGGGGCCGCACCCCCGCGGTCGAAGGAGAAAAAACACGGCATGAACACAAACTTTTGGCGCAACTCGCGGTTTTCGTGGACCCCCGCGGTCGAAGAAGAAAAATACAACCTTTTGGCGCACCGCGCGGTTTTCGTGGATCTGCGCTGGGCCCCCCCCAGCGGCGCCTCCGGTGCCGCCCCTGGCGCGCTCTGATCCAAGAAAACACGGCAGAAGCACAAACTTTTGGCGCAACTCGCGCGGTTTTCCTGGCTCTGCGCTGGGGCCCCCCCCGGCGGGGCCCCTCCGGTGCCGCCGCTGGCGCCGCCCCTCTCTCGCCAGGGAGGGGGGGGGGTCCAGAGTCCAGCGCAGATCCAAGAAGTCCGCGCGGAACGCCAACAGTTTTTTCTTTTCTTATACATACTTTTTTTTTTTTGTTTCTTCCCCCTTTTATCTAATTTTCTTCCTCTACTCTGGCGGCACGTCCAGCGCCGACCCAAGAGGTCCACGCGGACCCCAGACAGGTTATGCCTGTGCAGCTTGTGCTCCGTCTGGCGCCCGAGGAGGAGGGTCTGGAGGAGGAGCAGGAGCAGGAGGAGGAGGCGGAGGAGGAGGAGGAGGAGGAGGAGGAGGAGGAGGTGGAGGAGGAGGAGGAGGAGGAGGTGGAGGAGGAGGACGAGGAATCAGTGACGTAGGCTTGCGTGAGGCAGCGTTGGTCTGGGCTTCGCCAGCCCGTCGTCGGCCGATCTGGAAGCTCTCGCACATTCCGCACCCTGGCCACTCAGCGTTACTTGCTAGCAAGTCTCGCAGCCTGCTTTGCCCTCGTCCAAGGATGATGATGATGATGATGATGATGATGATGATGATGATGATGATGATGATGATGATGATGATGATGATGATGATGATGATGATGATGATGACGATAATGATGCTGATGATGATGTTTACTAATAGTATGCTGATGGTGATGGTGGTCGTAGTGGTGATGATGAAGCTGGTCATGTTGATGATGATGGTGATGGCGATGACGCTGCTGCTGCTGATCATGATGACAATGACGACGACGATAATGATGATGACGATGGTGCTGATGCTGATGCCGATGATGATGATGATGATGATGATGATGATGATGATGATGATGATGATGGTGATCATGATGATGATGGTGGTGTTGTTGGTGGTGTTGATGATGGTCATGATGGTGATGGTGGTGATGATGGTGCTGTTGATGATGGTAAAACAAAAAACGATGCCGACGACGCCGTCGCCGATGACGATGATGATGACGATGATGATGATGATGATGATGATGATGATGATGATGATGAGCATACACTGAACATTATGCTGCTGATGCTGATGCTGATGATGATGATGGTGATGATGATGCTGCTGCTGATGATGATGCTGATTCGTATTATGATGATGATTCTTATGATGCTGCTGCTGCTGCTGCTTTTGATGATGCGGATGACTAAGATTGTGATGATGGTGATGGTGATGATGATGACCAGGATAACGGGAGGATACTGATGACGATGACGATGGCGATAGCGACAACGACGACGACGGATGATTATGATGATGATAAGGACGATGACGATGACGATGACGATGACGCTGACGATGATGATGGCGATAATGAGGATGATGCTGATGAGGATGATGATGATGCTGATGCTGATGATGCTGATGCTATGATGATTTGATGATGTGATATGATGCTGATGATGCTGATGATGATGCTGATGATGCTGATGATACTGATCATGATGTTGATGACGATGATGATGATGACGATGATGATGATGGTGGTGGTGATGATGTTGATGATGCTGATGACGACGATGATGCTGATGCTGATGCTGATGCTGCTGCTGCTGCTGATGGTGATGATGATGATGAGATGATGATGATGATGATGATGATGATGATGATGATGATGATGATGATGATGATGATGATGATGATGATGATGATGATGATGATGATGATGATGATGATGATGATGATGATGATGATGATGATGATGATGATGACGATGACGATGACGATGACGTTTACGTTGACGACGCCGCCGACGACGGAGGAGGAGGAGGAGGAGGAAGACGAGTTGGAGGAGGAGTTGGAAGAGGAGGAGGAGGGAGGGGAGGAGGAGGAGGAGGAGGAGGAGGAGGAGAGGAGGAGGGAGGAGGAGGAGGAGGAGGAGGAGGAGGAGGAGGAGGAGGAGGAGGAGGAGGAGGAGGAGGAGGAGGAGGAGGAGGAGGAGGAGGAGGAGGAGGAGGAGGAGGAGGAGGAGGAGGAGGAGGAGGAGGAGGAGGAGGAGGAGAGGAGGAGGAGGAGGAGGAGGAGGAGGAGGAGGAAGAAGGAGGAGGAGGAGGAGGAGGAGGAGGAGGAGGAGGAGGAGGAGGAGGAGGACCAGTTGGAGGAGGAGGTGGAGGAGGAGGAGGAGGAGGAGGAGGCGGAGGAAGAGGAGGGGGGGCAGGAGGAGGAGGAGAAGGTTCTGGAGCGGGTAGGGGGGCCCGATCGAGATCAGGCAGCTCGTGTTGCTGACAGGCGGGGCCCCTGCGTTTTTGCACCGTGCCCGTCGCCCACGATGGGCCATTGCCGTGCCGCGGCGTCGGGAGAGAGTAAGGGCCTTGATTTCCGCCGATCCGATTGGTTGAATCCGCGGCCCCCGAGGTCCCGACCGCTTCCCGGGGTAGTTCTTTCGTCTGGGATCCGTTTTTGAGGGTCCTGGGGAGCGTAAACGGCGTCTCACTAAGAGGGGCCACACCGGGAGAGCTGACATGCCGTATCCCAGTAGGGGCCAGGATGGTTCTGACGATGAAGATCATGGCCCTCTGCTCCACCTCTTTCCTCCTCCCCCCTCCCCCGCCGCTCTTCCTGGATGGGGGTTGCTAACAGGGAGGGAGGGCGAAGGCGGGAAGGAGGGGGAGTGGGACCAACGCCGGGGCCTTTGAGAGGGTTGAGTGTTCCTTTCCACCGATTAATAAAAACGCACAAACATCATCTGGGGGCCCAGCGCCGATCCCAAACATCCGCGCGGACCTCCCAACGTTTTTGTTTGTGAAGGTTTCTCTATCGTAGATATCTGACATGACGGCATTCCAAGATTTTCAGTTTTTCTTTTGCTGGCTGGACTCCAGACACGAGGGCCGCCAGATCACCAAGTTCAGGGAGCGTGCCCTGATCCAATCGATTCACAGCATCATTTTCCTACTGCTCTAGTCTTGGAAGGCTACCCGCGTGTTTTCTTGGACTTTCCGTCTCGGAAGGTGTTTCATGTGGTGTGGTATGTCCATCAGGCCCGGGGCCTCCGGGGCATGGGAATGCTTCACTGGTGTGTGGTGTGCGGGGATGCAAAAGGGTTGCCCGGGTGCTGTGTGCGTTTGTGGCCTTCAGCAGCTGCGCGATCCTTCCTTCGCAGGACGACGCGACCAAGATCATGCGGGCGATGGGTCACCGAAAGTACGACAGCAGGCTCTCGTTTGCTCTTTGCTCCCTGCCATGAGGACAGACAGCGTGATGACGTCGACACCCACGTCCTAAGGATAGTCATGCTGTTGACGACGAGTCTTGGCGCGATGTAAATGGGATTGCAACGTTCTCTACACTAGTTTAAACGACTGCGTAGTGACGATATCAGTGTCGATCTGTCAGTGGTTGCCGTGCACAGGAGCGTTGAAGCGAATCACGCAACAGTATGCAGTAAGATGGCAGAGCCGTGTCGGTGCTAGCAGTGGCGTGGATGCCCTCGATGGTGGAATGCTGACAGTGATGCTAGCTGCTAGTGTCGGCAACAGTGATACTAAGTAGCGGCGCGGGGCAAGGATGAGGAACAGCTAGGCTGCTGCGAACACGCGCCCCTCACAGATTTGTCGCAGAGCTTCTCGAGTCGCTCGGAATGGGATCGCTGCGCCACGTGCAGCGTGTGTGCGGGTCCGGGGTGGGTGGTTACCGACGACCGTGCCGTTGTCGCAGACAGGGGGATCTCGGTAGAACGCGTGGAAGGGAGGTGGGCTGGCATTCCAAACAGATAACCTCCACTGCGTTGTATCTTCTCGAGCACCGGGAGCCGTGCGGTCGGCGCAACCTGCCGTGCGATGTGGCCCGAACGTGTGCCTCCTGCATGCCACGCCCTGCTCCAGGAGAGACTCGCGCGTTCCCTGCGATGATCCGCCCCTTCTCGCATTCATCGCCCTGCTTTTCGCATCCATCGCCCTGCTTTTCCTGCTCCCCCTGGAGGAGGAGGAGGCGGAGGAGCAGGAGGAGGAGGAGGAGGAGGAGGAGGAGGAGGAGGAGGAGGAGGAGGGAGGGAGGAGGAGGAGGAGGAGGAGGAGGAGGAGGGAGGAGGAGGAGGAGGAGGAGGAGGAGGAGTCGCTCCCGCACTCCGCCCCCCTTGGCGCTGTGCCGCCGCCTCTCCCGAGGCTTGCCCGCCTCCTCCGTCGCGTCGTCGCTGCCTCGTCCGTCGTGCCGCCCCTCTCCTGGGACCCGGCCCCCACGCGTGGGCCTCACCGCGTCTTGGGTCCGGAGAGTCTCGAGAGTCTCGAGGCTCTCGCTCCCCCTCCTGCCTGCCCTTCGGCCCCTCCCTGTCCCCCCCCCACTTCCCTCCTCCTCCGCGGCCCCCCGCCCTTCCCCCCCCGTCTTCCCTCCTCGCTCCCCCCCTCCCGCTCGCTCGCCTCGGCGGCGCGCCCTGGGGGGAAGCCGCAGCCGACGCCGCAGACGTGGCCCGGGCGGGCGGGCGCCGACGCCGACGGCGCGCGCCGACGCCGACGCCGCGCGGGCGCGCCGCAGACGCGGCCCCGCCGACGCCGACGGCGCGCGGGCACCCCAGCGCGCCGCGGCCCGCGCCCCCGTGTGGGCGGCGCCGCGGCGGCGCGCCCGGGTGCGGGCCTTCTCGGGAGGCGGCCAGGCCTCTCGGGCGCCCTCGGGCCCTCGGAGGAGCCGCCCGCGACAGTGGAGGCCCATGCCAAGAAGCGCCCTGCTTGCCTCCAGGGCGACCCGAGGGTCACTCGGGTTTCGGTGGTCTTTCCATGGAGCGCGTGACGTTCCCACACCCAAAAAACGGTGGACGTCCCGGGGTCTCAGGGTCGGGTTTCTTGTGGAGGATTTCTCGTGGACTGGCCTCCATTGTATCTTCGGAGAAGACCCCGAAAGCTTCGCAGGAGGCTTGAGGCCTTCCGAGCCCTCTGAGAGGGCCCGCCCCCTCTGACTTTCCCCCTGGGCTCGCCGCGGATCGTCGCCGCCGCCTCCCCCTCCCTCCCCATCGGAGGACGCCACTTCCGCCACCATGGCAACTGGGTCCTGAGGGAAACGGACTCTGGAGTTTGCTCGCTCGCCCTGGTCTTTCCATCGGGGGGCCCTTCACGGGCCCTGGGACCGTCAGAGAACAGCTCAGGACGAAGAGTTGGTCCCGGGGGGAAGGCCTCGGTGTCCAAGACCCGGGGGCGGCCAAGAGGCCGGTGATGAAGCGGGGGGGTGGATATTATGGCCGGGGCCATGATTTCTTCCCTGATATCATAGCCCTGTCTTCTTATTTTAAAGGCCTCCGGCCAGTGCCGCCGATCCGGGGGGCTCCGGATTGGGTGATCTTCGCGGCTCTGTGGCCTCCTCCTTCCTCGATTCTTCTGGTTCTCTTTCTTCTCCTTTGGGGGGGTGCCTGGAGCGGTCCCGGGGGGGGGTCAGGGAGGGTGCCGAGGGGAGGATTTTGGGGGCGGTAGCGGCTAGATCTGAGGGGGTCGCTGGGACCCCCGAAACATTTTGGGGATGCGCAAACATTAGATGGGGGACCGCCCCCCCCTTCCCCTCCCCCCTTCCCCCCGGGGTTGTGCGGATGCGCAAATCATGAAGAAAACGCCAGATGGGGTACCGCTCCCCCCCTCCCCCTCTTCCCCAGCAAAGCCACTCCGGTGACCCCCCCCAAGAAGAGCTGAAGCTGTTGCTTAGGCTCAGAGCTGAAGCTCTTGCTGAGGCTCCTTGTAGTTCACACGCCGGATGGGCGGATTTCAATGCGTCCCCTGCCCCTCCGCTGGACTGCGCACTTGCCTCGTGCCATGCTTTGCGAACCCCTCCTGGATGCCCCCCTCTTGGACGTTTCCCCTCTTGGACGCTTCCTCGTGTGATTTTTCGTTTCCTGAGTCCTGTAGAGAGTTAGTAGTGTATAGTTGACCACATCGATCTTTTTGCTATCATTGGAACGTCGGAAGCCAGCTTGGATCACGTCCGCGCGCAGTGGAAAAGAGCCCGCGATTCATGATTCCGTTCTTATTGTTTCTCAGTTGGCAGCGGAACCGTGGTTCTTTGTTGACCAGCTGAAGCTCGGGGAAAAGTGCGCGAAGTGTAAGCGCGTGGGTCACTGGGCGCGAGAGTGCCCGCATATTCGTTCATCACAACGTCTGGCCCTTGGCGCACTCAGAATGCGTGCTAGTTTGAGTGGCGCTGGCAATCCAAAGTCGAGGAGCCTTCTACTTCGCCGTCGGCTGGTGGTGGTGCTGTGAGGTTCTTCATCGGCATGATCGCCATGTTCATCGATGTCGCCATTTCTCGACGTGCCTGTGCCTGCGCTGCTGCCAGTCGGTCTCGCTGGAGCGATGCAGATGGGTCTGAAGTTGCGTGGTTCTGGCCACCCGGCGTTTTTCCACAAGTTCGGTGTGGGCGCCAAGCTGCGTGCCATCGGAGAGACTGGCCACGCGGCCATCGGCATCGTCGCGTTCGCGCCCGGCGGATGGGCGAGCCAGTGATTGACAGTGAGAGGAGCGTGTTTTTGGCGGAGGTCGAGGTTCGCCATCGCCGACGCCGGTCACATTGGCATCGTGTCAATCACCATCGCCGACGCCGGTCGCGAGCGCAGCTTCATCGAGTGAGGCGTCGACGCCATCGCAGAATGCAAGCACCGCATCACATGCTGCATCCTTCCAGATAGCAAGTTCAGCCTAAAGGGCGGCAAGCGCAGCATCGCAGCCCGCATGGGCAGCATCGCAGGTAGCAGGCGCAGCGTCGAACATCTCAACTTCGAAACAGCAAGCTGAGCACGAATCACGAGAAAGCAGGCAAATCTCGACGGCATTCCAGAGGGCGACGAAAGCGAGACACGCAATATAGACGAGGCAGAGAACAACGAGGCCCCAGGAAACGACGTCGCGGTCGGCTGCTGTTTGAGTTCTGTTTCCGAGTGTTCCGCTGAGGCCGACCAGTCTTCATTTTCTCAGCGTTCGCGCTTGCCGCGCCGCCAGCGGGCCCCATGTCGGCCGCGGCGCTCCACGCCGAGCCCCGTTGACGAGGTCCCGTCGCAGCGCGGGGGCCCGACGGCGGAGCGCTCGAACGGCAGGGGTCGAACAAAAGAACGGGCAAGGGCGGGGCGGTATCGGGCGCTCCGACAAGCTGTCGGGGTCATCGAGGCTGCCTTCTCCCAGTCCTCGTGATCGGCTCTCTTAGGCATAGCTGGTGTCCAGGAGATGGCCGAGCTTGTCGCCTTGCGACGGAAGGGGGCTGGTTCGTCGGCCGATCGAGTGAGGCCTGAGGCGTTTGCGAGAGGCGGTGGGCACGGAGCGCCATGGGTCCAAGGCGAAGTGCCTGCCAGGGGAGTGCGACCGCCCAGAGGGCGTGTCGCTGCCAGAGGGCAGCCGCCAGGGCAATTGTGAGGTGTGCATCGATGCCTGTGCGAGTTGGGAGCGAGTGCCGATCTGTGGCAGCAGGTTCAAGACGACCTCCGGTCCCGGAGGAGGAGGAAGAGGAGGAGGAGGAGGAGAAGGAGGAGGAGGAGGAGGAGGAGGAGGAGGAGGAGGAGGAGGCCCCCAAGCGCAGGCGCCGTCTGGGGAAGGCAACAGAAGCGTACACCTCATGAGGTCGGCGCTGGATCCCCTCCCCCCCCCAGCGCCGGGTGTACTGTGCGCTCGAAGGGCGCATCCGGGGGGGCAGGCACAGGGGGCCGGCCTTCTCAGAAGGCCGGCCTCCAGCCTTCTATGGGAAACTCCCTGAGCCCTCTCCGAAGCCACATGGGGATTGTCAGAAGGCCGACCGCCGCCTTCTGAGGAGGATCAAGGGGGGAAAACCAGCAGGGCCCGACGGTGGACGTTCCCTAGACGGCCGTGGGCGTTTCTGAGACCGCCCTGCCCCGTCCGATTCCTTCCCTGGGTGCGCTTCCTGAGCGGCTTCGCTCGTCGGGGTGATGGTTCTGGGGGTGGATTCCCTGTCCTCTGGAGACGGCCTGCCCCCTCCGGTAGAAGGAAGTACTTAGTGGACAGTCCCCCGCTCCCCCGAACTCAAAGTTGGCACGCGCGGGGCAGACTGCGGTCGAAGTGCAGCTCGCTCAACCCACCGCCAACGTGGATCATTGGGGGGGGGCATTGACACGTGCATGCGGCATGAGTGTTCGCTAATCTCTTCCGAGGCCTGTGCCACCTCCTCCCCCGGCGTGCCGCCGAGTCTTCGCCCGGCCCCCCCTCGCAGGCAGATCCAGATGACCTCCTTCGACGAGGCCAAGTTCAACACCGAGCTCAAGTGCCGATCCGCCCCTCGCGCGGCCGCATGTCTCGGGCGGAGGGGGGGCGGGGCACCCCCGGGGGGGCTCGCGGGGGCTTTTCATGTGCAGGTCCTCGGGGCCTTCGGATCCTGCAGAGCGGGTCGACCCCGGGCGGAGCGACTCGAGGCAGGGGGGAGAGGGAAGGAGAGGAGCTGGGAGCGTTGGTGAGGGAGGTGCGGGCGAGGGGCAGGGGAGGAGAGGGGGAAAGGGCGGGGATCATTGACGAGTGCGTGGAGGGCAGGGGTAACAGGGGGAGAAGGAGTCAGGAAGACGAGGAGGAGGAGGACCAGAGTAAACCCAAGGTGCACCAACGTTGCTCTAATGCACAATCCCGTCCAACGTTCGTTTACATGTTCGTGCAAGCCGTCCTTCGCACTGCAAGGAACGCCTCTGTGAAAGACCTTCATGCCATGAGCCTGCCGTTCTGCCGAGAGCCCCTTTGTGAAGAGAAACTTCCCTGCATCCTTTAGGCGAGCAACAATGTCTGATCATCATTTGACCGAGATGCCCAGCGATATCCTCGTTTTGAAAAGGACCGCCCTCCATCGGTGAAACTGCTGCAGAAGTTTGCCCCTCTGTGGCCATGCATGTCGAGGACGTCTGAAGCGAGAGCCCCATTTTGAAAAGGAGCCCCTCTCTATTCTTGCAGCTACTACATCGGTTTATCTCTCTTGTCTTGAAGTTGAAAGAAGTCTCAAGCGAAAACCGCATGCTCGGAAGGAACCATTTTTCATTCGTGTAGCCGCTGCCACAATTTAAGGCGAATGAGCGCGGCGCTACGGCGAGAACCCAATTTTTGGACGGATCTGCCTTACAACTCTGAAGCGGTTGCAAGCTTTAACAACAAGTGTGCGCGGCACGAAGGCGAGATTTTTAGGTTGAAGAGCAACCGCCCTCCATCTTTGAAGCTCTTGCAGGCTGTCAAGACGAATGTGCGTGGCGCTACGGCGAGAGCTTTATTTTGAAACGATCCCATCCATCCCTGGAGCAGTTACAAACTTTCAAGACGAATGTGCGCGCCACTGAAGCAACGGCCCCATTTCCAGAAGGAGCCGCCTTCATCCCTGAAGCTGTTGCAAAAACTATAAGTTGTCAAGACGAATGTTCGCGGCGCTAAGGCGAGAGCACCATTTTGAAAACGATCCCTCCACCCCTGAAGCTGCTACAAACATTTAAGACGAATATGCGCGGCGCCACAGCGAGTACCCCATTTTGAAAGCGACCGCCTTCCATCTTTGAAGCTGTTGCAGACTTCTAAGACGAGTGTTCGTGGCGCTAAGGCGATCGCCCCATTTTGAAAACGACACCTCTCCATCCTAGAAGCAGTTGCAACGTTTGAAGCTTAAGGAGCATACTTGGTGAGGAAATCTCAGGCCCTACCGACACGTCTTGGGGTGCGACAGGGAGGAGTCATGTAGAAGGAACATGGATGGAGGCCCGGAGGCGGGCAGGAGAGTTCGGAGGGAGAGGCGAGAGGAGAGGAACAAAGCATCTCACTCGCTGGTTCAGTCTCCAGATCAGGAGCAACCACTGTCTCGGAACCACGCCGAGCTATGTTTAGCAATGCCGAGACTCGCGCAGATGTTACAGGGTCCATTTCGATCCGATCGATCCGATGTGATGTCGATTTTGACCAGCTCTACCAGATCCGATTCCGATATTCCAGCGATCCCGATGATGACGATGATACTGGTGATGATTCTGCTACTGCTTATGCTGATGCTGATGATGCTGCCGATGACGATGGTGCTGGTGGTGGTGATCCTGTTGATTATGATAGTGATGATAATGAGTGTGGGATGCTGATGATGATGATGGTTGTGATGATGATGATGATGATGATGATGATGATGATGATGATGATGATGATGATGATGATGATGATGATGATGATGATGATGTTGATGACGATGAGGATGATTATGATGATGATGATGCTGATGCGCGTCACGATGAGGATGAGGATTGGGATGAAGAGGAGGATGAAGACGAGGACGAGGACGAAGAGGACGACGACGACGAACACGAGGAGGTAGTGGAGGAGGAGGAGGAGAAGAATGAGGAGGAGGAGGAGGATTATGATGTTCATGATGCTGCTGCTGATGATAACTGATCATGGAGGTGGTGATGGGATGGATGATAATGATCAAGATGGCGATGACGATGATGCTGATGATGATGATGATGCTCATGCTGATGATGATGCGGAGGATTTGGATGATGATAATGCTGATGATGATCATGATGATGATGCTGATGAGGATGCTTATAATAATGATGCTGATGCTGATGCTGATGCTGCTGCTGCTGCTGCCGCTGATGATGATGATGATGATGATGATGATGATGATGATGAGTATGACAACGGTTAGCATGACGATGCTGATGATGATGATGCTCCAGATGATGATGATGATGATGATGATGCTGAGGGTGTGGATGATGATAATGGTGTGGATGATGATAATGATGATGCTGATGATGATGCTGATGCTGATGCTGATGCTAATGCTGCTGATGATGATAAGGCTGATGATGATGATGATGATGATGATGATGATGATGATAATAATGAAGATGCTGCTGCTGATGACGATGATGCTGAGGGTGTGGATGATGATAATGATGATGCTGCTGACGATGATGATGATGATGATGATGATGATGATGATGATAATGATGATGATGATGATGACGAGAATGATGATGAGACGATGATGATGATTCTGATGCTGATGTTGATGCTAATGCTGCTGCTGCTGCTGATGGTGATCATGCTGATGATGCTGCTGATGCTGATGCTGATGACGATTATGATGATGATGATGATGATGATGAGGATGTCGATGATGATGATGATGATGATGATGATGATGATGATGATGATGATGATGATGCTGATGATGCTGATGATGATGATTTCGATGATGATGATGCTGATGATGATGCTGCTGCTGTTGAGGATGATGATGATGATGATGGTGATGCTGCTGCTGATGATGATGACGACGATGGTTGCTGATGCTGATGATGATGCTGATGCTGATGCTGATGCTGCTGATGATGATGATGATGATGAGGATGTCGATGATGATGATGATGATGCTGCTGATGATGAGGATGATGATGCTGCTGCTGACGTCGACGATGACAACGATGATGATGATGCTGATGCTGATGATAATGCTGATGCTGATGCTGATGGCGATGACAATGGTGATGATGATGATGATGCTGATTATGATAATGATGGTGATGATGCTGATGATGCTGATGCTGATGCTGATGCTGCTGCTGTCGTCGATGATGATTCTGACGATGACGATGACAATGATGATGCTGATGTTGATGCTGATGATGATGATGCTGATGATGAGATGATGATGATGCTGATGATGAGGATGATGATGATGATGATGCTGATGATGCTGATGATGCTGATGCTGATGCTGTTGACGATGCTGATGCTGATGATGCTGATGATGATGACTCTGATTCTGATGATGATGATGCTGATGATGCTGATGCGGATGATGACGAATATGATGATGAACATGATGATGATGATGATGATGATGATGATGATGATGATGATGATGATGATGATGATGATGCTGTTGATGATGTTGCTGCTGCTGCTGCTGCTGCTGCTGATGATGATGATGATGATGATGATGATGATGATGATGATGATGATGATCATGCTGATGAGGATGATGATGCGTGCCTGAGAACTGAGGAGGAGGTGAAGGAGGAGGAGGAGGTGGATGGGGGAGGCGGATATAGTGGTGGAGGAGGATGAGGGACAGGAACATACGGAGGAGGAGGAGGAGGAGGAGAAGGAGGAAGGAGGAGGATATGGAGGAGGAGGATAAGGAGGAGGAGGAGGACCAGGTGGAGGAGGAGGAGGAGGAAATGGAGGAAGAGGAGGAACAGCAGCAGCAGGAGAAGAGGAAGATGAGACGTCGAGGAGGAAGAGCAGCAGGAGGAACCCAGTGGCCATGTACCAGTGGAGCGCAAAGAGCAATCTGAGCAGACCAGTGCCTGCCGACTCTGCAGGAGCAGGGGCTGGGTGTTGCAGCTTTGGGAGACGCTGGCGATAGATCACTAAGACGCCGATCATGTCCAAGCCAGTTCGGGCGGTCAGGTCGAGGTGGCTGCGTTGTGCATTTTTGGCGCCCTCCCAGGCCCCATCGTTGCAGTCTGACATGACGACGCTGACGCTGAACGACGGACGCCAACGCCGACGCCGACGCCGACGCCGACGTCGACGTCGACGGTCGACCGTTGACGACGACGGCGACGGCGACGACGATGAAGACGACGACGGCGACGACGATGAAGACGACGACGACGACGGCGGCGACGACGACGTCGACGACGACGCCGACGCCGACGCTGACGACGACTCAGACTGGCGGCACCGCTGCCTGCGCCCAGGGTGCTCATGTGAGCCGCGGGTGGGGTGACCAGCGCCGTGGCTCGGGGCGGCTTGACCGCCGCCTGCGTCGCGGGCCTCGAATGTTTCGGATCATGTCTGCGCTGAAGGTGTCCGATGATCCCGAGAGCGTGCGTTGCGGTCGGGGACGTCTGCTCAGCTTGTCGCGCCTCCGGTTCTGGCGCCCACCACGCTTCGGCGCGGCTCGGTGAGCACGTCCCAGTGAGCATCAACGTTTCGAGCTTTTCTCAGCCTTCGGTCCCACGAAGCAGTGTGGCACGTCATCATCTTGCAAGGCACAGCGTGTCGCAGGGTCAACCGCCGCGAAACGCTGGGCAGAAGTCCCTGACCGCAGCCCAATGTGTGCCTACCTGAAGTCGGGCATGTCCCTCTACAGGAGGAATATTCAAAAATAGTAAATAAATAGTCAGGGGACGATTTTTCTATTACTTTTGACTACGTTTGAGTATTTCTTTGGCTACTTTGATTTTTTTCCTCCCAGATCCGCCTGTAGAGGGACATGCCCGACCTACTGCTTGCCCCGTGCAGCTCTACCCACAACGCGCAGCCCTGTGTCGGCCCTCGTGGCACTGCCCGCGTCGTGCTGAAGGCCCTCGGGTGCGCTGGCACACGTTGGCGCTGACACGCTCTCTGGACCATCAAAAGCTACTGCTTGCTTCTTCGAAGCCTCCTCCTCTTCCTCCCCTCTTCCTCCTCCTCCCCTCCCCGCCTCCGAGGGAAAACATAACCGACGCGAGGGAGGTGAGGAGAGGAGGAGGGGGTCCAGGTGGCCCAGCCCTCTCTCTCCGGGACAAAGAGGACGCGATTTTTCAACACCTCCTGAATCGCGCCCCTGGGGACCTCGGCCATCGGGCTCCGCCTGGATTGTCTTCGGCCACCCCCGCGAGCGCTCTCGCCTCGGCGCCTGCCATGCTTCGGCGGCGAGCGAGTAGGGGAAGTGAGGAGGAGAAGGCCTTCTCAGAATGCTCGAGAGCCCCACGGCCTTTCGAGCTCTCTGCGCCGTCCCCGAGGACACAGCCCGCTTCCCTGGAGGCGCGAGGGCTTCCGAGAAGCCCCCCCCGCCTTCTGAGAGGGCCTTCTCCCTCCGACCTTCCCCCTCCCTCGCCGCCGCCTGCTCCTTCCCCGCTCCGCACGGCCCGACCGGGCTCCGCCGCCCGCCGCTGCCCGCCCGGAGCTTTCTGGCGACGGGCCCCTCGGGAGGGAGAGCTGCGAGCGCAGCGCGCCGTGCCGCGGCTCCTCCGGCCGTCGGCTGCGCGCAGGGGGGGGGGTTGCCGGACGGGGCCAGGACGAGGACAAGTCCGTTCCCGAGCGTTCTGGAACGCTCTCGTGGCGTTCTGGAACGCTCCGAGAAGGCCGCGGCGCCCGAGACGTTTGGCGGCGCGCAGAGGGGGGCAGGGCGAGGGGGAAGGCTTCTTAGAAGCACCCCTGCTTCTTAGAAGGCGCGGGCAATGTCTGTAAATGTAAGGCCCGCGGTTTCTAAGAAGCAGCCTCCTTCTAAGAAGCCTTCCCCCCTCCCCCCACCCCCCTCTGCGCGCCGCCAAGACATCCTCAGGAGCCGCCGGATCTCAGAGATTTCCGATTTATCCTCACCCGATCTCATCCTCGTCCTGGCCTCGTCTTGGGCAAGTAGGGGGAGGGGGGCAGGCTTCCAAGAAGCCTTCGCCCCTCCCCCTACTGGACGTAAGGCCCGCGCCTCCTCCTCAGACGCCTCCCCCCCTCCCCCTACCCCCCGGTGTGGGCCGCCAGGGCAGGCCGAGGGCAGAGGCACGTCGCATCGAGGAGCTCCGGGGCGCTCTCGGCCAGGCGCCGACAGCTGGCACGCAGGCCCCTGCGACGCTCGCAGATCTTGGGCGGGATTCTCTGTGTGCGGGGGCCACGGGTGTGTGCTGTCTGTCGGTTGGGGGCCCCCCGCTCGAACGGCAGAGGCATGCCGCATCGAGGAGCTCCGGGGCGCTCTCGGCCAGGCGCCGACAGCTGGCACGCAGGCCCCTGCGACGCTCGCAGATCTTGGGCGGCGGGTTTCTCCGTGTGCGGGGGCCACGGGCGTGTGCTCTCGGTGGGGGGCCCCCCGCTCGAGCGGGAGCCCCTCCCTCGGGGCACGGCGGCCCTGGCTGCGCCCTCGCCGCCTCGACCTCTCCCATTCCTCCTCCCTGGAGGCTCGGGTGCGTGTTGGATTGCAAAAAAAAGATTGCAACAAAAACCCGAAGGATTGCAAAAAAACCGAAGGATTGCAAAAAAACGAAGGGTTTTTTTGCAATCCTTCGTTTTTTTGCAATCTTTCGTCCCTCGGGGCGTTCCGGAGCGCGCTGGAGACGGCCGCGGCGCCCGCCGCGCCCCCCGAGCCCGCCAGCCCGACCTCTCCGCTGCGTCTGCAGGGTTTGGCCCTCGGCGGCCGCCCTCCCCCCTCCGAGTGCATGGCAGGGCTCCACGCCTGCTCGGCTGGCTGGGCTGGCTTGCCGCTCGGCTGGCTGGCCTGCCGTCTACGCAGACGGCTGGCAGTCTCTCTCGACTGCTTGCGGCGCGCGCCCGCGATAGTGAGCCAGGGATTGGCCCCTGGGAGTGCTCGCCTGTCGTGATTTGCGCGGGGTTACGGCACTGGAGGCGCGAGCGTGCGACAATTCGTGCGGCATCGTAGCCTCGGCGGCGCGGATGCGTTGTGATCAAAGAGGGGCCGTGGTTTACCGTGATTTACTTTGGAGGGATTGCGGCCCCAGGAGCGTGTACCTCTAGCATGTTCTTGTGTCCCAGGGCATCCAGGAGCTGAGAGAACCCGGATTCGATAGGGCAACGGATCCTTTCTCCGCTGGGAGTGCCGCGCGTTCTGCAGACTTCCAACTTCGGAACCATGAGCCATGATCTACAGTCAGCCCGCATAGTAAGGATGAGAAACTTTCCAAGGTTACCCTTGCATCTCTCCCCTTCGGCCCACCCTTGGCCGCTTTCGCTGACCGCTCCCCGCTCGCAAAGCGTCGACGTGGCCTTCCAAGGGCCTTGCATCCCTATCGTGCGTCCTTCTTATACGGACTGGCTGTATAGTATCTGACACCCTGGAACAGAGGAGACTGGCGCTGGAACTGGCACGGGATCCAGGGAGCTGAGGACCGATTGGCTGCAGACGGCAGAGAGGCTGCGGCTGTGCTGCCTGTTGGCCCCCAGGCGGCCCGGTGGGTCTCGCTCCGATTAGATCGTCGTCTTGGTTTCATCTCGGGCGTTTCTTTCCCCTTCCTGTCCAAACTGCGTCCCTCGCCTCTGCCGACTGACGGCAACAGGGGACGGCTCTCGCACTCCCTGCCAGCTCGCATGCCCCTTGTCTCGCGATCCTGCCCTCTCCCGCGTCTCACGTCTCCTGCTATCGCTGGCAGCCGCCTCGAGTCTGAAGCATGCAACTTGGGCAGAGCATTAGTCGGCGGCCTCTGCGTGGTAGGCACAGACATGATTGGTGGTGGTATCAAATGTAGCGGGAAAAGCTCTGGCCGTGCAGGGCGCGCCGGTCGGGGGTATGGGCGCGAGCGCCCAGGCGCGCGGGCGCGGGCGTGCGTGCGTGTGTGTGTGTGTGTGTGTGTGTGTGTGTGTGTGTGTGTGTGTGTGTCAGTGTGTGTGTGTGTGTTTGTGTGCGCGTATGTGTGTGCGTGCGTGATCTGTGTGAGTGCGTGTTTCCGACCCGACCCTCTCACGCGGCTTCGCCGCGCGGGTGGCGGCGTCGCGCACAAGTGAGCGCGTGTGTGCGCGCGTACGGTGGGCACGTGCGGTGCGCGCCCGTGTGCGTGCGTGCGCGCGCGCATGGCGCATCTACCGCCTGCCCGTCCTCCCCGAGACGCACGGCGGAGTCCGATGGGCTCTCAGCCCTGCCGCTGGGGTGCCCCCCCACCCGAGGGGCGTCTTTCGTGCATCGCGGGCGGGCCCGCGGTGCCTGCGCTGCTCGGGCGGTGGTGCGATCGGATCCTGGACGCCGTCGAGCGCCAGGGCTGGACGGGGAAGGTGCAGCGCAGGGAGGGAAGAAGGCCCGTTTCTTCGCTGCAGTCCTCAGCCCTCTTGTGCCCGCAAGTGCGCTCGGGGCCCGAGCGACGATGCAGACTGGAGGACGTGCGTCTGCGCTGGCTTGCCTGCTTTGCTTTGTGTGTGTGTTTGTTTGTGTGCAGCTCTTGCTCCATCGCCATCGCAATCACTCTGCCTAGCCGCCGACGCAGAAAGTGTGTGCAGCTCTTGGTGTCCAGTCGCTGGGCGTTCTGGCGCAGGGCTCGTCCCACGGCGGCCCCAGGCCAGCACTGTTCCCCGACGGGTCTGGGCAGGGCAGGGCTCGAAGAGAAGAACGAGAGCCCCCCCCCCCCTGGATCACCTCTGAGTGCCCCCCTCCTCCCTCCGCCTCCGCGGCCGCCCTGTCTGTCTCAGTCTCTCTTCTTGCATGCTGTGCAACTCGCTCTTCGGTAGCCCCGTTTAGCTCGACCGCCGGCGCAGTACACCTCTGCCTGGCCGCCGACGTGAAACTGTCTGCAAGGGCCCCGTGCAACTGTCGGAGGCACGTGTGGTCGCATCCGGACCCATGAGGCGGTGGCTCGCGGCCTGTGGTCTCCCGTATGGTCTCCCGCAGTGTCTCCTTCGTGGTCTCCTGCGGCAGCGCCCCCGCGAGAGGGGGTACGGGGGAGTGGTGGAGTTTCCAGCGGGAACGCCGGAGGGCGTCGCCATACCTCCCAGCCGCCTCCGCGCCATGCAAACAGAACCCGAGACTCAGCACAGGCAGGGATCGCCATCGGATGGGCAGCCATCGAGCGCACGCCAGGTTCGCGACGCCGGCGAGTGCGCCCGGGGCGCCAGAGGTGCCGCGCGCGCCAGGTGCGCCAGGTGACTCAGGGACCCAGGCGTGCCAGGCGCGCCTCTGGCGACCAGATGCGCTGCGTGCGCCCAGAGCGCTACGTGCCTCAGATTCGCCAGGTGCCACACGTTTGCGACGCGCGCAGCGTGCGCCAGGCGGCGGCAGCGCCAGTGCACTGACAGCACACATCAGGCAACATGTCGACACCACCACCGCCGCCACCGCCGCCACCACCGCCACCACCACCGCCACCACCACCACCAGCACTACCACCACCACCACCACCACCACCACCACCACCACCACCACACCACCACCACCACCACCACCACCACCACCACCACCACCACCACCACCACCACCACCACCACCACCACCACCACCACCACCACCACCACCACCACCACCACCACCACCACCACCACACCACCACCACCACCACCACCACCACCACACCACCACACCACCCAGCACCACCAGCACCATTACCACGAGCACCACCACGAGCACCACGAGCACCACCACCACCACCACCACCACCACCACCACACCACCACCACCACCACCACCACCACCACCACCACCACCACCACCACCACCACCACCACCGTCCATGCCAAAAACCACTGCAGAGTGGCGGTGGGGCGGGCTAGCATGGTGTATGTTGCGTGCGCGCGCGCGCGTGTGTGTGTGTGTGTGTGTGTGTATGTGTGTGTGTGTGTGTGTGTGTGTGCGTGCACCCGGAATCAGTTTGCATTAAGTCTCCATACGGATGCGAACAGTGGGGGCGAGTGTGCAACGGACAATTCTGCGCACAGCACGCCTGCCTTCCCTGTCGCGGCCACTGCAGCGCGCACTCTGCATCGCTTCTGACTCGGACGGTGTGGAGATGCTCTCGCTGCTCCTGGCAGCCGCCCGCTCGCGTGGGGGAGGGGTGCCTGCTAACGGGGAGCAGTGGTGACCCTCTCCGACGGGGAAGACAGGCGGCCGGAAGAGAGAGAGAGAGAGAGAGAGAGAGAGCGAGGGCCCCTCAGACCGCCCACGTCCAGATGCTTCTCAGGACCTGCAGCGAGAGGGGCCGCCTGCGTCCGGATGACTGTCGGGACCCCTGTCTTTCGTGTCAGGCCTGGCGCCCGCCTCGCATCCATCAGGCGATCGCAAGCATGGATCAAAGGGGGCGTGGATTAGCGACGGGTCTCGTTCCAAGGGGAAATCGCGCACTCCCGCCGCCGAGCGAGGCGGCACCGGCCACATTCTGGGGAGCACACCTCCCCCGATCCATGGATTTGGCGTTCGCGCGCCAGATCCACGGATCGCTAATCCATGTCTGCGCCCCCCCCAATTGTCTTTTTCGTATCGGGCCCGCTCCCACCTCGCACGCACCCTCGCCTCCGTCCGCCGCTTCCGCCCGAGGCCCCGCCGCCGTGCCTTGCTTTTGCCGCGCGGCGTGGCCAGGAGCCCTGTTCGAGGCCACTTTGGCGCAAGCCACCCTCGCCCAAACATCGGTGTGATCGAAGTGGGGACGGAAGCATCAGGCCCTGTGCATTTTGGGCAGGACCTGCTGTCGGCGTTGCCGCGGACGCCGTCCGCGCGAGGCAGGAGAGCCAGAGCCTGCCAAACAGCGGCCGCTGTCGGTTCTGGATCACGTCTGCTGCTTCGACATCGCGCCAATTTTTTTCGGATGCCCGTTTCGGGCGTGCCAGAAGCAGCCGTCACTCCTTGCCGCCTCGGCGCGTCACCATGCAGCCGCACGCCTCGGAAGCGCCGACGCCCGCCTCAAGCGCCGTGCGCTCGGCCGGGTCGCTGGAGCTAGTGCTGGGTGAGGTCCCGAGCCATCCCGAGCTGCCACCAGAGAGCCCTCAGGCGTGGTCGCTGCCGCGTACTTTGCGGACGCAGTCGTCGGCTGGCTGGAAGACCCAGACCTCCTCGCGTCGTGCAAAGATCATGGCGGACGGGGTTTTGCTATTTTTGGCCTCCAGGGGCCCTTACCGGGCCGCGGGACCGTCCAAGAACGACTTCGGATGAAGAACCGGTTCCCAGGGTTGGGGCCGGACCTCTGGGGGTTCACGTTATGACGAAAACATTTCGTCGGGGGTCTGGGGAGAAGGGCGTGGAAGGCGGGGGGAAGAGCAGTGGGTCCGACCCGACAGGGGGGGACTTGCGAAATTGAGGGGTTGATGCATTTTCTGCACGCGTGATCGACAGGAGCATCCCAACTACCACTGGGACAGGGCACGGTGGCCGCCGTCGGAGCCGGGAGGGGCTGCTGTGGGCCTCATGGGAGCCGCCTGGGGCTTCTGAGGGGGCCTCCTTGGGGTCCTGGTGATGGTCTCGCGAATCATTTTGGGACGGAGGGTCCGACATGAAAGTTCGAGTTCCCCCTCTCCTGGGGCCCTCTTGGGCTCGTCTTGAGCCGTTTTGGGGGCCTCTTGGGCCGTCTTGGGGCCCTCGTGGGCCGTGCGGGGGCCCTCTTGGGGCCTCCTGTGCCGTCTGCAGCGTTGGACGCCTGCAAAGGCGAGGCGTTGATATCTAGAGGCCGCCGCCTCTGCCGCGGACCCCATACATAGTCCTAGTAGAAGCAAGTGTACTACAGTCGGGGCCTTGACCTAAGGAACCCAAAATAAGGAACGAGGCCCCTTTTTTCCGTAAGTTGAGCTTCGATTTCCGATCGAAAACATAAGGAAAGCCTGAGGCAAGCTGCGAAACAATTCAGGAACACCGAGCCCCCTCCCCAACGAAAAGGATTCCTTCTTCAGGGCCCCGACTGTACTAGTGACACGCAAGGTGGTGGCAAGGGCTGTCGCAAGTTGTAATCGCAACATGCAGAAAAACACGCGAGAAAGAGCAGCCACCGCAACGGCTGAGGCCAAAGATCCGTAGACATCTGAGGCGTTCCAGAAAGGGCCTTGCCTTCGGGGATCGAAGGAGTTGTCATCTCTTCCACGGCGGAAGGCGGCGGAAGGGCGGCGGAAGTAAAACGAGGCCGCCTCCGCCGGCGGAAGCCGGCGGAAAGGGCGGCGGAGGGTTGCGGAAGTAAGACATGCGGCCCCAAGAGATGAGAACGTGTTCGGGTTCAGGGTGTCCGAAATCGCCCATCTCGGTTTAGGTAAGGCCCCACCCGTGCGACTCGTCACTCGCGTCGTGGCTCCCCGCTGTTTTGGTGGCGACGTCCTGCCTGCCCGGCCCGCCTAGGTGCTGCCGCCTGGGCGGCGCCGCTCCGATGGACACGCAAGCGATGCAAGCTGTTTTTTGGTCCGACACTGCAGCGTGGCGCAGGGCTGCAACCCCACCAATCGCTCCTTTTTTTTGATTGGGGGGTGGGTTGTGGCCCTGCACTTGTTTTGTTTTATCATTTTCGTCCGTCTGCTTGTGTGTTTGTTTGTTTGTTTTTCCTCATGCTTCATGGGTTTCATGGTTTTCATGATTTCACGGTTCTTCACCGTTCTTCATGGTGTACATGGCGTTTCATGGTTTTCGTGGTTTTCATTTTTTGTCTTTTTTTGGTTTTCATGGTTTTTAAGTGGATTTCCGTGGTTTTCTTAGTTTCACGTTTTTTTAATGTTTTTCACGGTTTCTCATGGTTTTTCATTGTTCCATGGTTTTCATGGTTGCCATGATTTTCATAGTTGTCATGATTTGTCATGGTTTTTCATT